AACATCAATGCATAAGTATTAAATTATTTCTATAATTCTAGTACGAAAGGAAGCATCGGTAAAGATAGTCTGGTAATAGAATTATAATAATCTCCCATAGGCTTATCGCCCGTAGGGGCTTGCTGCGATTATTATTAGGGTCCACATGCAACCGGTTTCTCTTGTCTTTTTCTTTTTTACAGACGGTGGTATCTGTACCCCTCCCGTCCAACGTACTGACTAACGATATATTCAGCACGCCACGAATGAGTCATTCGAGACAACTTAGCCGTTAGTGACTTGTTCAGGGTCATTCCATGGATGGTGATACTGAGGTTTGAACTCAGTGTCTTGTGGATACGCGTCGAACAACGTAACCACTCAATCATGCCGGCGGCAATAGGATGGATAACCGAAAACCAGACAAAATGCATGAGCTGCCTGATTCGAGTTCGCATATAAATGAAACATTTGATGCACAGTATAAATTGGGAATCAGTAGAAAGCTATAGAGTGTGGGTGTGTAGGTGTCGGCGTGGATGTGGAGTGGGTGTGGGCGTAGGTGTGGGCTGGTGTGCTCCACTTATGCGACTCACACTCGCGGAGGCACCCACATCGACACCCATCCGCGCCGACACGCCCACACCCGTACTCTCATATAGATTAACTGCAATAGTTGTTATTGAACAAGATATTTATACAAACGATTATATTATAGGGTGATAGAGAATATGAAAGTACGGTGCGATACAAAGCTTTCATTTACTTTATTACATGTGCATGTGTGTCTCTCACGATGAGCCGAAACAAAACAGATCAAGGAAAAACATACATATTCAATAATACGTATAGTCTGTTATTTGCGACCATATGGATACGTAAATCCAATGAATTCTTTAAAAAATATCTTTCGATTTTTATGTATTCAACTATGACGAAAGTCATGAATGAATGAAAATTTTATCTCATAAAGTGTGATTTTTTTTTAAGAAGTCAATGAAAATTAGTTTTGAATGAATGACTCGAAATCGACCATCTTTGAGACTTTGAAGCTTTTTCTTTATAATAAAAGCTCAATCAGATTTGTTTTTTTAGCAATTTGTTTTACTCAAGATAGGTTAGATGAAATGTGATGACTAACTAATGGGTTATCAGTCATCGAGAATCGATCAAAAACAGATAGAACTTTCTGCATCTTTTCTTGCTAGCTGTAGAATTCGATTTTATATAAATTATGATGGTGCTGGCTTCATGACTTTCGAATAAAAAGATTATTTTAGACCAGAAGTTCCACTTAATCTTTCTTATAAAAGTTTATGTCAAACAAAAGTGACCAAGGTAGTGTAGAGATTTATCGAGAAGTGAAATGAAAAAAGAAATAATAAAATTTTTTTTTTGAATGAAATAATTAAGAAAATATATTTGCTTACGAGAATATTAATTCATGGAAATTCAATCACCATTAGTATGCGATGCAAAAAAAAATTATCGAAACTCATTTCTCAAAAATGCATCATTGGATTGACTTCGACTTTTTTTTTGTTTGAAAGAGCAAAGTCTGGACTACAGACGTAAAGTGAAAATAGCCCATAATTTGTGCTGTGCGTATGGGGTGAATGTGAGGTGCGGGTGTCAGTATCGATTGCAAGGAGAATAACACTCAAATACCCACACACTCACTCACACATCCACCTACACGCACACCCTTAAAAAAATTAATTTGTAACAAAATCAATACCTACAGGTGTTCGCGGTATTAGCGGTGTCTATGTTAAGACTGCTGCACCGTTAGCATCTCTTTAGCACTAACACTTCTAAAGCAATGTTGTTTGTATCTCCCTAGCGCTGCTAATAACTCGTGCATCTTCATTGATTTTTACAGAGAACATTCCGTGTTTTTTAATTTGCCACAAAGTCAAATTCCACATAAACTCTTTGCGGTAAACAATTATGCCAATACACTAATATCAATAATTCAAATGTGCCGATTTCAAATAAAATGTATTCGGAATATAAGTTTCTTTGTCAATGGATGAATGATATATTTATTCATTTGTATGGTCAGTTGGAATTAGAAATTTCAGTGGTTTACTATTCTGTCGCAAAGAAATAGACTTTCTATCATAATTCGACGGAAGCTTTGCACAATAACCGATTTGACGCTTTTTATGAATTTTCAGAAAATTCAATAATTTTTAAAGTTATTCTTATACAATAGATTCTAATTGTCACACAATCTGAATAATGCATATTGCTATAATGTCTTCCCGTAGCGTTCTTAGTTGGATGATACACGTCGATACGCCTGTACGCCCTCATCCTCATTTTCAAGAAAACCTTCGAAAGTCTCCAACAAATAAACCAGCGAGCTCGCTCTTGTACAGATCGAAAGAGCTTGGTGTGCCCTATAGAATATTAATGTTTTAATTAAAAAAAAGTCCTAGAGTCTATTATTTTTCTTTCACGATGCATAGTAATTTTTGTTGTTTTTTTTTTTTCAAGAGAGACGATCGACAACGTGTGGACCAGTCAAGAAGAAAAAGTAATACTTATGTTTTTCGGATAAACTTGAGTGGAAGCGACTAATGCAGACAGAAACGCATCAATGTCTTCATTCTAAAAAGTTTAAAACGATTTGTTTACAGAACGTGACCACATTCGATGTGTTAATCGGATTTCTCCCGATTTCAGAAATTCTTCTTGAAAAAAAGATTTTTTAAAGCCTATCATATACATCTTTAGACGTAAAACAGGTAAGAAAAAGTATAAGAATATCTCATCGTTACATTCTTTATTTAAGAAAAGAGAAAAAAATTAATTTCAATCAACAAAATTTATCAATGTCACTCTTAACAACAAATATTTCATTGATGAGTGTTGCTTCAAACGTATAGTCAAAAAGTGCTTTGAAAATCCGATGGTGTTTATCGAATGCTGTTCTTTAGAAAAAAGAAGTTCAAATAGTATTCCTTGTATTCATGTCTGACTTCCGTCTATCCACTGCTTTGGTTTGTCTTTATCACCTTCATACACAGTTGATCACTCATTTTTATCAGTACTAGTGTTCGCTCATTCGTTTCTTCGTTCATTATTATTACCTACTAGAAGGAAGCCTTCGTAGCTTCTCAAAAGAGATACTTTTGAAAAAAAGCTAATAGCTGCTTAATCAACCTATATATACTTAATAGTTCCTTATAGCTACTTAATCAACCTACAGCTACTTAATCATTTTACAGCTACTTAAGGTTCTTCTACAACTACTTAATGAACCTACGGCTACTAAATGTTTTCCTATAGCTACTTACTCTTCCTAAAGCTACTTAGGGGTGGCGCGACCGGAGGGTGTCGGGGGTGCGACACCCCCCAATCTTCAAAAATTTCTGTTTTTTTGCTCAACAAAATCAGGAAATTTTCTTCCATTTGTCACCAAAAACAATGTTGCACCCCCCGAAAAATTGCAGACTTCGTCTTTCTAGTCCAAAAAATTTCGCTACCCCCCCCCCCCCCAAATGTTGGTTGACTCACGCCACCCCTGCAGCTACTTAATCATTTTATAGTTACTTAATGTTCTCCTACAACTACTTAATGAATTTACAGCTACTTAATGTTTTCCTATAGCTACTTAATCATCCTACAGCTACTTATTGATCATACATCTACTTAATATTAGCTACGTGAAGTTTCCTATGACTATTCGAATATCCTACATGTATGTAAATTTCCTATAGCTATTTACAGTTTGCGTACCGATTAAAAACTCCACAGCCATTTCAACATACCACAGCAACTAAAAATTCATAGCCAATGATAAAAACCAATAGCTATTTATAAACTAATAGCTGTTTAAAGAATATTAAATATTTCTTTCACTATTTTATAACTATTGTAACCTTTTCATAGCTATGAGAATGGTTTTGTAGATATTGAAAAAAATTGACACCCAAGATTATTTGAATAGCTAGTCGATCTCTACGATGGTTGTGTACTTTTTTGTATGTGACTTACAACTTCACATTATTCTCTTCTTCTTTTCTCGCTGTTATGCGAAAATAAAATACTTCTCATAATTTCATAAAGAATCTATATATGAAAGGCTAATAATATTATGAAGAAGAACACCTGAATATATCTATACATACGTATGTTTATATAGATATTGCACACGAAATTAAATTTCATTACGTTTGAAAACAATTTAGAATTCAAACATAGTTCATTCTCACATCTATCTTGACTACATTTTCTTATCAATACCTCCCAATCTTACGTGTACATATGTAACAAAAAACCTAGTTTAAAGTCATATTAAATTTTAACAAAAATATTTTTTGCAAATAGAAAAAAACAAAAAGATTTTCTACATTGTCTTAATATTCAATTCATCTATAAACATAATTGTTTCTAGAAAACTAATAACAATACGTGTATATCAAGACCAATTTTTCTGTGAACTACTTCAGATAACCCACAACCAACCCCTGCTCAATCGATGGTCACCGATTGAAGTCATTTATAAATACATTATAGAGACTAGTGATTCATGAGCTTCTACACAAGCCGTTTTAAGAAATGTCACGCCCTTCTCAAGTTATTAAACTTTTTCTGAGATCATTCCCGTCAAAAAATGATATTTTTTTGTGATTTTTTTCTCCGACTTATATCTCTTTAAGAATACATTTGTTCCGCTTGAACTTTTTACTGTAGGTCAATCCTTAGTTGAGGTATTTTTCGTCAAAAAATGACCTCGATCGGACAAATCATTGATTAATTGACCTGCAGTGCAAAATACATTATAAAAAATTTCACTGTTTTGTCTTTTGTTCAAATAAACATCCATTGAACGAATAATTTGAGAGAGCTAAAATTTTGACCACAGAAATGGTTAGAAATATGCATTATTCGAAAACATCACTGTAACATAAGTAATTTTATTTTACTTTTGTTTCTATTTAAAACAAACATCGAAGAAAACTTATTAGTGAAAAATATAAATTAAAATAATGAAATACAATCAGTTACATCTATACAATTTGAAATTTGATTGATGGTCGTATACAATCAAATTTAAGTTGTAATTCCCGTACTTTTTCTTGTATTTCATCATCTTCTAATATACTTCCAATCACTTGTAATGTTATTTTATTCAATAAATTACATTTATATAAAAAAGTTTTCCAATGGTCTATGCCTAATAATTTCTTCACATTGTATTTATTGGTAATCAAACGAAAACATTGAATACGGCGCATCCATTGTATTATATCATATATTGTATTTAAAAAACATGACTCATAATGTTGATAGCATTCCTTGACTGAAGTCAATTGAAATTGACCAATATCAAGTATAAAATATTCAATGTTAAAGTTGTATATATATTCTATATTGAATTCATCAATATCATAATGAGTACATAATACACCTGCACAATGAATTTCAAATCGTCTAATTGATTCTGGGAGATAAGAAATAACATTTTGTAATAAATTGAAACCAATTTCATTGTTATAACAAAGGGAAAGACAAGTTAACTTGGGAAAATATATTTCATATTCACTGATTTGTTGCATAATTTCAAGATTAATAAGATTAAGCGAGATCACATTATTGAACAAAGATAAATAGTTCAATATCATACACATCTTCGACTCATCACTATTCAGACGCAAAGAAATTATTTGATTAGATTTGATTTTTCGAAGAATTGTATTAATAAATATTTCACTAAGATCATCAATATGTACTTTTGCTTTCAATTTACGTAGAAAAAATAAAATATTAGAAGAAAATGCATTGATTGCATCATTTAATGAGAGATATTTGCATATTTCAATAATAACTTCCCAAGAAAGATCACTTTTTTTAATCAAATCGAAAGACTACAATGAAATTAATAGTAGATATGAAAAATTTTTAGCAATTTCTATTAAATATTAAATAAAAATAAACAAATAATCATGACTTACTAAAGCTTGTTCATTATCATCACATTCTTCTTTAAATATAGACAATTCTTTGAGTATTGATTTTAGACTAAACATCTCCTCAGTACTTGTCAAAGTTTCATTTTTAAACAATACTGTAAATTCATATTCTGATGTTGATGACGAATCTTTTTTATATAAAGATTCTCGCATTATACCAATAAGCATTGGACATTGTTCAAGAGAAAAATCAATCGAAGTTTGACTTGGAAAGATCTTATTCCAGATTTTTATCAATCTATAAGTCATATTAAATATTTGTTAATACGAAAAGAGATATGTCATATAAGGTTCCTCTTCAAAAGCATGAAACTGTTAAGATGTGTTGAGTCTGTAGTATAAAGACTATGCTTAATTTGTCTGCTCTATATCATTACATTCACAGAAGATATTTATTAACCAAGGACCAACAACATCTCATTTAACAATCAGAAATCCTCTATGAACTCTCATTCAAGCAGAAGGTGACAGAAATTGTCGAAATATTTTGGCAAAGAAAAACGAGATACCAAATACAAATTCATATCGTTTATGAAAGAATAAACTTTAGACTATCTTTCAATGCATTTATTTCAATTTCGACTTTTCTGACAAAAATTAACTTTTTTTTTTAGTGGAAGAATTAAAACAATGATAAGAAAATTTTATTCGATAATGACATTAAGATGAAAATCTATGTTAATCAATCAATATTAAATTACTTACATATTTCTATTTGATTCAAATGTAATATCCCATGGCCAAACAATATAATCGTCAAGTAAATAATCAATAATCATTTCTGAACAGAGTATATTCCAACAAAATCTATTTGTTAATAAGTTTTTATCATGATGTATGTAGACAAGAACTGGACGACGCTAAAATAAAATACATCTTAGTGTAATTATCAAAATAGATTTGAACTAACTTCTTTAATTATTATTGAACTGAAAGCTTCTTGACATGCTTCTTCAAGAGAACCAATGAAAAAAGCTGGACAAGCATTGTAACGATGCATAAAACATTGGCATAGAGATTCAATACTCTGAACTTCACTTTGACAATCATTAGGAACTTGAAAATAAATTCATCAATAAATCTATCTTTTCTATTGTTATATATGAATAATAACTTACAAGGACTATGATCGATGAGATCAATGTCATAATTACTAATATCACTACCATCATCATCATCATCATCATTAGCCTAATTAAAATAAAGTGAATATAACTAACTACGATATTTTTCATTCGAAATAGTCAAATTGAAATTTTGCAAAAGATGCAAACTGTTTTGTTTTTCAAAGAATAATATCAAAATAAAAATGATGAATTTAATTACCATTTTAATTACTTGTTCTTTTGTAATCAATGAGTGAAGTTCTAAAAAAAGAAAGATCTTTATTTTTGTAGTCAATGTGTAGAAAAACTTATGTGACTGTCGATTGGTTTTTTTTTTTTTTACTGTGAATGTTGACCTTTGGTGAAATCTCTTTTACCATTCTTTTAACATTAACGTATATCTCGTGTAATTGATCAGAAAATATTCTTTTAGATAAAAAACATGCTTGTATGAAAACAAAATGACATACAGGGCATGCTCTGGACTTTTTTTCTTTCTTTTTCAACTCTGATTGGTGACAATCAACAGATAAACACAGTGCATTTTCAGGATCCCGACAGATGCGCACTACGATTATGAAGGTGCTGGACGATAGTGTAATGGGAGAAAGGTGATGTAGGTGTGAGTATGAATCTGGTGAGGTTGACAGAGTCCATTTTGTTTCCTAACCCTTATCTCTTATTCTGTGCACATCTTTCGTATACTCTGCATTGTCATGGATTTTGTTATCATTGAAAAAATATCCATAAGACATATCTAAACAGAACATAGTTTGTCATGGTTTCATAAAACTGAATGTATATCAGGACTGTGAGTTAGATAGAATTATTCCACTATAGTCTGACGAACCAAAAGTCCGAGTGAAAACTAGATTTTGTTTTGTATAAATTTTCATTTCATAATATTAGATTTTTATCTCTTTGTATATGTGCAGAATCACTATACAATTTCCAGTATAATGATTTTCACATACTATTACAAACTTAATTTTCATCAGTACATTAAACCTTGTTTAAAATATTTATTTTCGGGTAAGTATCCATGACACTATGTATTAACATATTTCGGGATCATTTTTTATGAGTCTAGGACATTTGATTTCTGTAAAAACGTTTTCAAAAATTTGGAAGAAAATAACGAAAGAGTAATGACATAAAAAAAATGGATTTGTATATAGGAAAATGATTATCATAATAAAATAATTGATTTAACGGTTCTAATATTTTTGAAATTGATGATTCTAATATAATAACAACTTGCAATCAATGAAATAAGGTGTAGGCGATATGGGTAGTCTAGATGTCGGTGTGGGATAGTTGAGTGTGGATGTGGATATGGTTGTTGGTCTTGTGTGCACCCACACCTGCACCCTATTATCTCTACTTTATAATTATTTCAAGTAATGTTATGTGTTCCTATATAATAGCATATTATAATTCCTTCTCATAATATCACAATAAAGCGTCATGCTAACGTATCTTCAACTCGGACTTTTGATTCATCAAACTGTAGTTCAAAGTCTAACTAGAAGCTTCGAAGCAGTAAGAAAAGATAATGAAAGCCTCAGTTGGATTCGCTTTTATTCATTCGACTTTTGAACCTTCCCTATGGAGAAATCCAGACGAGTTTTTCGAGCGACTAAAAGTTGTTTATTAAAACTGTGACAAGCATATCATTAGATGCAGTTTTGTCTGCTGAATTTGAATATAGTATCTAAATTCAAATTCGAAGTGATTCTGGTTTATAAATTGAGCAAATAAAAGCTCAAAAATGGTTGTCGCCAGGATTTTTAGCTATTTTCAGCACGTTGTTGAATTTCTTTCATATTCGAAATCACCATAAACACTGCATTGAATAGTATATATAGCTGTTTGACATCCAATCATTTTGTTGTGCCTCAAGATCGCATAACATGATGAATCATGGCTTTCTGTGCGATATTCCTAATTCTATGAAATATTTTGATTGCTTATCGATTGTTTTTTATAAGTGAATCGACTTGGAATGAATAGAGTAAATATTTTCACATATTTTAGAAAGAAAAAACCAATGTTGCTAATATATAGGGCAATGGCTGTATAGTCCATTTAGTACTAAAATTCTCTTTTCACATATAAAACTCAATCCAATCAAAACATAAATACGATATTCGTGATGATCATGCAAAATTGCATATAAATGATATGTTTCTGACGATATTTGAACAAAAAGTTTTTCAAAGCGAATCCGTAGGAAATACTATTAGTGGTTCCCTGACACCTTTCAGATAGATAAAAGTGAAAAAAAAATTGTGTGTGAAAATATGACTATACCGGAACATATCCTTTAATAAGTGATTTATGCAAGATGAAAATAATTATCATAATCGATTAGAAAGTACGAATAGTAAACATTAGTGATTTTGGGGGTGGATGTGGGGTGTTGGTGTGGTGTGGGTGTGGGGTGTGGGGTGTGTGGGTGTGGGGTGTGTGGGTGTGGGGTGTGTGGGTGTGGGGTGTGGATGTGGTTATGCATAGAACACCCACCCACTCACACGCACACCCCACACCCACGCCCACACACCCCACACCCCACACCCACACCCACACCCACATCCACAGCCACACCCACATCCACACCCACATCCACACCCACATCCACACCCACACCCTTTTCTATAAGATGATATAGAACGTGTCCCGGTGGGATTATCTCTATAGACAATGTTTAATGGGAATATCTGTATGTCAAAAAAAAACTTATGTTTTGTTCTTAATATTCTAATTCGTTTTTGCGAATCAAGAATTCAACTCCAAGTCCCTATGATTGATTTGTTATCAAAAATTTTGAATACGCAGATGCAGATGTTATTTAAATAATTCGATAACACACTTACTATTGTAACAGTTTCTTGACAGATTTTAATAACATCTGATTCTGATCGAGACATGTTTTTATTTATTCATGAAAAAAGTTCTTTAAGTTTAACTTCTTTATTTCTTCATATATTTACATACTAGGAAAAAACTCTTTCTTCTTCAAATATCAGTGAATAATCCATATGTTTTTTTTGCCGTAAATAATTTCGAGCATAATTATACAAGAAAAAACAGAACAAAACAAGAGGGAACATGTGTTTTTTTTTCTTATCTATTCCCGACATTTAACCCTCAACTCGTGGTAATCGAAAAATAACAGATAGTCTTATCGTATTCTCAGGTGTGCATAAAAAGAGCACAATGCGTATGGACGAAGATCGAAGATCACAATATGTTTTATCTCCATTTTATAAAGAAATGAATGTATGTGTTCAATGATTATCTAACTATGTGACCTCAAAATCAGAAAAAGCAATAATTACAAAAAAAAGAACATCTTAAACGTGAGCATGAAAGCAAACCAAAACATTTAGGATTCTACAAAATAAATGTAAGATTATGAAGAATGTAAATATATTTGGAACAGTATAAATTAATTTAAAAAACATGCAAGAAGTTTTACAAAACATAAATATAAATTACCCAAGACGAAGTATACAAAATCTATAAACACTCCGAACTTCACTGTATACGCCAAAATACAATGATTGACGTTCGCTTATGAGCGTGTTTATTCGACTTGAATAAACCAATGAAAAGCGATAAAAATCACATAAATAGAACTTCAAATTTGATCATTTGTCACACATTGAATAATTCTCTTTAAAGGACCCTGCCGGATAAGGGTACAAATCTGCCATCCCGTGCAACAAAATTACATTCACGCTTTTCTAAAAGGCTGTATGTTATTTAGAGTCCTACCAAAGTATGAAATTCACTGCCTTAACCCCATCTCATGAACTATTTTTTATCCTTGCTCTGTCCTATTCTACTTCCTGCTGAGAGACCCATATCCTAGTACTACGATACACTCGAAAGAAATACGTTCTTTTACCAACCTGTGTCCAAGGAAGTACTTTTTTGATTTCATACGCTGTTGCTCAACTTAAAAAACCTTGGAAATCAGTACACTGAAGCACAAGACACACAAAAGTTTCGTATAGAACCAGAAATATTCTTTCTTTGGACACAAGTTCGGTAAAAGAACGTATTTTTTTTAGAGTTTATTGTAGCACTAGGATATGAGTCTCTCAGCACGAGGTAGGATAGGACAAAGCAAGGATAAGAAACAGTTCATGAGATGGGACTAAGGCGGTGAATTTCATACATTGGTAGGACTCTAAATAACATACAGCCTTTTCGAAAAGCATGAATGTAATTTTGTTGCACGGGATGGCGGATTTGCATCCTTATCCGGCGGGGCCCTTTCTTGTAAATATTTGTAACTTGGCTTTATTATTCCCCTTTTGATATTAGCTTCACATGTGCAATAACCATGCGAAGTTTGCAAGCGGCGAATGATGAAATCGTCAAGCCTAGATTTCTCTAGGTTTCTAAAATATCCACCAATTCTACAGAATTCCTCAGGATTTCCAGTGAGCCCTCAAGGATCTATTGAGGGACGCCACCTGCATCACAGTTTTCCATGTTGTTATCTCTTTTTCCTTTTTCTATTTTGAATGTGACTATGGGTGTGGATGTGGATGTAGCCGCATTCACATCCTCAGTCTTAGAAATTTCAGACAACTTATTGATATTTTCGAGTTATGCGAATTTTCGAATGAGGAAAATGAAGATGAGTAGAAAGACTGATTTCTTATTCGATTTGATTGGTCTCATCATGTCATTTCATTACTTGAAAAAAATGCAAGTTTCAATCAGAATAATAGGAATCATTGTAAAAACGATGGAGTATATGTGTGAATCATGGCTACCTCGATCAATATCGATTCGAATCATATTTAATTCGAATGAGAAGCTATTTATTACAATTCTAATGTAATGCTTGATTCAAACAGTATTGTTGTAGGAATGATATAAGCTAGTAATGGACTATTGTCATCGATGGACATCTCGAATTTGATTCATGTTTAGATCTTCAGTGAACTTAGCCAACTTGCACAAAAGACTGTTTCTTTCACGATATGAAATTATTTCTAACATCTCTTTGAGAATTGTTGATTTCAATGTATCACGACAACATAGCAATGAAGTTATTTGTTGGCCAGAAATGATCGAGCTTGTAACTGAAGCGATCGCAGCGATCGAAATAAGTTGATATTGAATTCACTCATCCGAAGAAATCTTGTAATCATCGTGAACGTATTTCAGCCTGCATCAATTGATCGGGATCAGAGCCCCAAC